GAACCCAGCCTAAGACAGCAGGGTCCCCTGATTTGGTAGTTGGATCTTGGAGCAGATACGGGTTCCCTGCCCTGGGGGACCCCTTCTCCACCTCTGGTTACAGCCTGGCTTCCTAGCTACCTCCACACCTATCTCACCTGTCTTTCCTGGAAATTCTTTTCCATCCTTTTCCACTCAGGGAAAGCCCTGGAGAAAGTTACAAACTGAGTGTCTTAGTCAACTAGTGCTGCTCTAACAGAAGTACCACAAGTGGATGGTTTTAACAAAGAGAAGTTTATTCTCTCACAGTCTAGTAGTCTACAAGTCCAAATTCAAGGCATCAGCTCCAGAGGAAGGCTTTCTCTCTCTGTCGGCTCTAGAGAAAAGTCCATATCATCAGTCTTCCTTTGGTCTGGGAGCATCTCAGCGCAGGAACCTCAGGTCCAAAGGATGCGCTCTGTTCCTGGCGCTACTTTCTTGGTGATATGAGGTTCCCATGCGTCTCTGCTCACTTCTCTCTTTTATATCTCGAAAGAGATTGCATTAAGACACTATCAAATCTCGTCAACCTCATCAGTATAACCTCATCACAGTGATAGAATTTGCAACACATAAGGAGATCACATCAGATTACACAATCATACAATACTGGGAATCATGACTCAGCCAAGTTGACAGATATTTTGGGGGGACACAATTCAATCCATGACAGTGGGTTTTTCAGCATCTCTAGTCTCGACGTTTACCAATAGCCCCTTCCTCCCACTCTCTGGAAACCCAGTGCCCTCTCACCCACTCCCCAACCTTCTGCCTTTAGCTGGGCATAGACATTTTGACAGATATGAACGGCAGTCCTAAACCCATTTAGGAAGACTGAAATTCTAATGGTGTTATTTCGGGCATCATCAAAAAAATTGGAGAGGTACATGAAGGTTGAAGGTTTTACTCCTGGCCCTAGAATCACTCCAAGTAGGAACAAACATAACTCATAAGGAAGAAAATATCTTGCACTGGCTACTGGCTATTTTTGCTTTTTCTTCCAATTCGGCTTTCCCGGTCCAGATTTCGCCTTCACCACCTAAATCCTCTTGGGTTTGGTGGGGCTGGATTTTTCTCCTGACACCAGAGGGGAGCAGGAGCTCCTGATGCACCTTGAGAAATTGCAGTTGGTGCCCAGAGCCACCTCTTACTCTCCACCTGCCATCTGGGAACAGAGAACGGGTCTGCCCCAGCCCACAGCCCCTGCCTGCCTGCCTATGGATGGGCATCAGCTCCCGCAGGAAGCCACACCCTGAGGGTGTCACCCTCAACTCATCACTCGCATCCTTGCATCCTCTTTTTCCTCCCTCCTAAAGGACTCACATCCACCTAATTATTCCTGCTGCCAGACAAGCCACCCTCTCCACTTTGGCCTCCCCTGGCAGCAGCTTTTTGCCAAAGGGAAGGGCGCTGCTTGCCGGCGTACTAGAAAATCCACATTCCCCACACAGACCCGTGAACTTGGGTGTTGAATGAAGCTGGAGCTCAGGGGATGCCTGGTCTACAATATTACCCAGCTCCAGGCATGCTGGGCCAGACCTTCCTTTCCTCCCCTACTTCCTTCCCTCCATCCTTCTCTCCCTCCCTTCCTCCCTCTCACAATTTGATACGTTTTGACATATCTGTGAAACCATCACCACAATCAAGATAGTGAACAATCCATCACCCCGAAAAGCTTCCTCATGCCCCTTTGTGATCCCTTCTACCCTCCCATTTCCACCACCCCCACCCCATCTCCAAGCAATCCGTGTTCTGCTTTCCATCACTATAGATTAGTTTGCATTTTCATATAAATGGAATCTTACAGTATGAATCCCTTTTTTTCTGGATTCTTTCACTCAGCATAATTATTTTGAGATGCGTTTGTGTTACTGCATGCCAATAGTTCACTTCTTTTTACTGCTGAGTGGCATTCCATTATATGGACATACCAAAGTTCATGTATCCATTCACCTGTTGTTGGACATTTGGGTTGTTTCCAGTTTAGGGCTATTATAACTAAAACTGCTATGAATATGCATGCATAAGTCTTTTTATGGACATATGCTTTCATTTCTGTTGGGTAAATACCTATGAGTAGAATGACTGGATCATAGGGTAGATGTATGTTTCACTTTTTAAGAAATTGCTGAATTGTTTTCCAAAGTGGTTGTACCATTTTACATTCCCACTAGCAACTGGATGACAGATCCAGTTGCTCCACATTCTCGCCAACACTTGGTATAATGAGACTTTTTAATTTTAGCCATTCTAGTGGGTGTGTGGTGGAATCTTATTGTAGTTTTAATTTGTATTTCCCTAGTGACTAATGATGTAGAGCATTTTTTCATTTGCTTATTTGCCATCCATATATCTTCTTTGATGAAGTGTTTATTTAATTCTTTTGCCCATTTTCCCCTAGATCTTCAATGAACTTTATTTTTGGAACAGTTTTAGATTTACAGAAAAATTACCTGCCTCCCCCACACTAGACTGTAAGCTCCAAGAGGTCAGGAACCATCATGTTTGCTTTTGTTCCCCTTCACCTCTCAGTGGCTGGTACAATGCCTGTGTGTATAGATACTCGGTAAAGATGCATTAAATAGGTGAGTTAATACACAATCAGATACTCAATATAAATTCAAGTACATTCAAGTATAAATTCAAGTTGAAAACCACTTATCCTGCTTATGAAAATAATCTGTAAAAGCATTTTTGCAAATGCCATGCTGATGCCAGGGGTTAGTAACACCATTTATTGCCCCATGTTCTTGTTTTTCCTAGACGCTGTTTACCTTAATTCTCCCTCCAAGAGAGTGATTTTCCCCTGGGTAGAAGTATACTGCCAGATAGAACTCGACCTTGGCAATGAGTGCCCTGAACACAGCAAGCCACGCCTCCAAACAGAGCGAGCCAGTCTGGAAGAATCCATGCAACTTCACACACAGTGGGCTCCCAAAGGGGATGGGAAGGGTAGACATAGCCCACCCATGTCCCCACCTGTGCAGACACCTGAGTCTACATGTGAGTGGCCTGTGGAGTTACCAGTTTCAACACCTATCTCTTCAATTGAGCAGTCACCTGCATCACCACTGGCCTCATCACCTTCACATTCTGCAAATGGCTTGCCACCTGTATCACCCGTACCACCTGTATCACCCCCAGCTGTGCAATTACCGCCCAGCTTAACATCTGACTCGTCACTACCCGTTACATCACCTGAGCTGCCACCTGTGTTACCACAGCAGCAGGTACAACCGTCTGGATCACCATGCAGATCTTCGTCCTCCGAGTTATCCACATCACCCAGGCCATCTCTGGAGCCTTCAGCTGTGGAAGCACTTCAAACATCGCCCCAATGTTCTCCTTCAGCATCACCTGCACAGTCACCAATAGAGGAACTGGACCCAGAACAGCCCCAAGGTATGGACCCTTGTGGCTTCTCATGGATTTCTCACATGTGTAACAACACCGTGGCTGATAACCTTTGCTTCAGAGGGGTGGATTTGTGAGGTTAGCAGAGTTTGCTTCAGTGGCTCTGCCTGTTATGAGGACAGGCCGCCACCAGGAGGCAGTGTACTTGACATTTGCTCATTCCCTTAATCCAAACCAAAACCCATTGCCATCGAGTTAATTCTGACTCATAGCGACCCTATAGGTCAGAGTAGAACTGCCCCATAGGATTTCCAAAAAGCAGCTGTTGAATTAGAACTGCCAACCTTTTGGTTAGCAGCCGAGTTCTTAACCACTGCACCACCAGGGCTCTTGCTTTAGTCCAGTGATTCTCAAAGTGAGATCCCCTGACCAGCTAGCTAGCTGTGGCATCGCTTGGGAACTTGTTAGAAATGAAAATTCTAGAGCTGCACTGCAGACCTACTGAATCAGAATCTCGGTGTGGGACCCAGCCATCTATCTTTCTTACAAGCCCCTCCAGGTGATTCTTTTGCACACTTAAAGTCTGAGAACAGCTGCTCTAGGAGAGTTTTATGGAATGCCTCCCTGTGAAAGCCACTGTGCTAGGACTGTACTACTCAAAGAGGGGTCCATGGACTAATGCCAGTCCCTGAACTGTTTGTTACTAGTTCACAACAAGATGAGAGCGTATATCAAGAGTTAGCATTTAGAAAACATTTACCGTAGTAAAATATTGCCATGACATCCAAGAGCTGAGTCATCTATTTTACTAACTTATTTGTATTGTACTTCACAAAAGTACTAGTCCATTATGGATTCAAAAATAATTTTTTTTTTTTTTTTAAAGTCAACTAGCTCTTCACTACAGATAGTTTGAGAAGCCCCACTATAGAGGCTGCAAAGATGAACAGTTCTTGATTCCCCACTCTCAGGAAATCTCCCCTCCGGGAGAGGAGATGACATGGATACCAACCTCAAAAATACAAGAAGAATGAATGAGTACTACATAATTAACAAAACAGTGTTGGAGGGTATTTATGGAGGAGAATAAGATCACCTGTCTCTGGGGAAACGAGGAGGGCTTCTTGGAGGAGGTGACAAGCAAATTGAAACAGGCATGATTTTGGCAGTCCTGGTTTGTTGGATTGAATGGGATAGAGTAGAAAGAGCACTTCAGATTTTGTTTATTCTAGAGACTTGGTTGCAGAGTGGGAAAGTGCAAGGTATATTCGGGATGAAGAGGATTCCTGTTTGACCTCTGTGGATGGTCTGGGTGAGGGCAGTGGGAGAGGTACCCAAATGGCGGACTGAAGCCAGGTTGAAGACAGCCCCCAGGGTCCATCAGCCAAGCTTCCCTAGGTATGGTGAATGGCAGCACAGATTAGCAAGTTTTCCCTGTTTAGGGATCTGCCCCAAGTCAGGAGTGACCCCTTCTCTGTAATAGGTTTACCTATAATTCTTTTTGTCACAATGAGACAAAAATATTAGGACATTAATAGTCAGAAAATTGGCCAAAGTGTACCACACGCCCTTTTATTTCCTGTTTAATGCACTGCATTTATTTTATTTTACTCACACCTGTGCCATTTGTTTTCAGGTGCCCGAGCAATCCTGGGCCCTGAGTTGGTGTTTCTCATTCATGTTTACCTTCACTTGCATTGGGGGTGGACAGAGGGTACCTATAGCCCAATGGTTCTCCACTGGGTGAGAATTCCCACCACCACCCCCAGGAGACATTTGGCAATGTGTGGAGACATTTTTGGTTGTCACAACTATCAGAACAGCCACAAATGTGTGCTACTGGCATCTAGTGGGTAGCAGCAAGCATATCACCTGGGAGATCGTTAGAAATGATAATCTTCAGGCCCCACCACTACCCACTGAATCAAAATCTCTAGTGGGTAGGCATGCTGCTAAACATTCTACAATGCACGGAACAGCCCTACAACAAAAAAATTATCTGGCCCTTAATGTCGGTAGTGCTGAAATTGAGAAACCCTGGTATAGCCCTCAGCTGAGCCTCAGCAGTAACATTGCAGAACGTCTGCGGGACTTTGGCAGAGCAGAGCCTACCCAGGGTTTGTTCTCATCAGTCATTTAGTGATGGCCTTGGTGGTGGGGGAGGAAGGGCAACAAGTCCTAGGAAAATCCAAAAATAAAGGAACAAGCCTCACTGAAAGTCGATTTGGGAGAGCTAGGGCCATCCAACAGGCCCCCAAACAAAGGAACTTCAAGTAGAGGAATCCAAATATATTCTAGATTATATTTATTTACATAAATACATATGTTACATAAATACATATTAATCTTCATATTTACTGTATCCCCATAATCATCAAAAACATACAAAGATATTGTGTAAGAATAATGGTCATATTCTCTATTCCAGTAAAAAAAAGATCATTATATAATACAGGTGATAAAAGTTTCAGGCTCCTATTTTCCTGAAAACTGTCCCTAACATGACGATTTTTTGTGAGGGAGTTGTTTATAATATTACATCAAAGGTCAGTATTGGTCCTCCCACAGATGGTGCTGACCTGGGTCTGAATCAAATCCAACAACCTGATTCTAGTCCTCACGTTTTGAGAACAAGAGAGATATTTACTATTGTTAAACGCTTTTATTTCAAGAATGACTAAGTACTCTTCCCCCACCCCATCTCACTCATCTGTCCTGTAATTTTACTTTTGGCTGTAGCTCCCCTTGCCGCTTCAAATCCCAAAAGAGCCACGCCTCTGGTTAATGTGAAGGAAACCATCTGCAAGCCTTGTGTGACGTAAGTTTCTTCTTCACTGGGAACTCCTACTTTCCTTTGGTCAGAGGTAAGAGCAAGGGCTCAGGGTTGAGAGGATGGTCCAGCTAAGTGACATTTTCCAGGGGCATAGCAAGGGTAACGAGTGCCCAGAGGCAATCTCTAAGTTGCGCCCCCACAACCCCCACCCAATTTCAAGATGAATAGACATTGATAGTCAGCAGAAATGCCTTCCCCTCTCGTGTCCAGCTGCCTCAGTCAGGTGCCGTTTATATTTGTGACACCTTGGAATGTCTTTCTGAGCCTCATCTGGCACTCCCTTGGACTTGTGCTCAGGGGCAAGTGCCGCCTCTGTCCCTCTCCCTCGCTAGGCCTCTGATATTCTCCATTTCTTTTGCCGCCCCTGGGAACAATAGGATCATATTCTAGTTTGTGTTATTACAGTCCACCCCTTTACATTTCACAGACCACCACCACCCCTCCTCTGTTCTTCTTCAGTGGGGGAAATATGCAGCAAATGAGCCTATTCATGTCAACAATGTCCTTCTATTCCATTCCCTCCTATCCACATTGGGGAATGCATCTTCTTTCAGCTCAGTGGAGAAGGGGCTGCCTCTCTTTGTTCCCCCCTCATGTTTTACCCTCAGTTCAAGAGAATTAGCAGGCATTCCACATCCTAGCCTTAGGTGGCCTCTGCATAGTATGCATTGAGCAGCTCTATCAAAAAACCAGTTGCCGCTGAGTTGATTCTGATTCACGGCGGCACCACGTGTGCAGAATGGCACTCCAGAGGGTTTGAAGGCTGTCACTTTTCAGAAGCAAATTACCAGACCTTTCTTCCAAAGCCCCTCTGGGTAGGTTCGAACCACCAACCTTTCAGTTATTAGTTGAGTGTTTAACTGTTGTGGCATCCAGGGACCTGGCACTATCGAAGGCTTCCCTTAATTCAAATTATTTTCTACCATGATTAAAAAAAAAAAAATCCATTGCGGTCGAGTCAATTCTGACTCATAGCGACCCTATAGGACAGAGTAGAACCACTCCATAGGGTTTCCAAGGCTGTAATCTTTACAGAAGCAGTCTGCCACGTCTTTCTCCCGCAGAGTGGCTGGTGGATTCGAACCACCAACCTTTCAGTTAACAGCCAAGCACTTAACTACTGTACCACTGGGGTTCCTTTTAGCATGATGAAGGATCTAATATTCCTATGTTAGAGATTATCCCCAGAAAATATTTTTTATAGTGCACATCAATTGTCTGGGGTCTATAACATATAATCCATTATTATCTTTAAAGTAATTATGAAAAGGCCTGGAGATTTATATTTTTTTAAGTTCCCTGAGTTACCCAGGTTCCCTTGATGGTTGGATGCCAATTGGGTTAGCCAACACAAGGCGCCGGCAGGAGACCAGAGGGTTAGACAAGAAGAAATTTGGGGTATTTCTCCCCCCAACCCTATCCCTCCTGCCTTGGAGCCGTTCTGGCAGTGGCTGGGCTTCTCTGAGGCCCTAGTTGCAAGGTCTGAGACACTCTTACTTTTGATGTTTCCACACCACATCATATCAAATATATTAAAATATACCTGCTTCCCACATTAAGTATAAATTTTACTATAAAACTTTTTTTAAGGTTTATGTACATTTAATAATGTTGAGCTTGGGCATAAATTATACAGTTTGTTCACATACTTTAAACTTTATTGCATTTATATATGACTGTGTAAAAGTTTAATTGAGTTTCCGTTGATTAGTTGGCATGATGTTACTTAAATAAATACTCACTGATTACAAAAAGAAGTTCCCTGGGGAACTCTGACGTCAGCCAAGGTTGTGCACCACAGCACTGGTGTATCTGCCTTTTGAGTTGGAGCAGGGCCTTGATGTTATAGAACACAGGACAGGCTGTTAACAAACCTCCACTTCATCTTTTTCCAGGGAGAGCCCTGCTAAAGACGCAAACTGGGGCAACAAGGTGCTCAAGAAGAACAAACAAAAGACAAGTGGCACCAGAAAAGGCTTCCCAAGACATCCACGATCCAAAAAATCAAGCGGCAGAATACAGTAAGCCTGGCTAATGTTTCCAAAATTCTGCAGGGAATGGTCTGCAGGAGGGTTTCAAGGAGTAGAGGGGGGGTCAGTATGGAGTGGGATTTAGGAGCTTGGACTTTGGAGTCAAACACACCTGACGTAAAATCCTTGCACTGCCATCTTCTAGCTCAGTGATCACGGTTAGGACACTTGGTCTCTCTGAGCCTCCGTTTCCTGATCTGTAAAATGGGAATGATACCAGCTCACAAGGTTATCGTGCTGGTAAAAGGAAATCAGCTATGTAAGCTGCTTAGCAGAGTGCAGGATGTGTAATAAGCCCTCAGCAATTAGTAGGTGTTGTGGTTCACAGGTTAACCTCTCATCTTCTGAACAGAAATGTACTTAAAAATCAAACTACACAGTTCGGTGGCTACATGAACTTCAACAGGTAGAATTCCAAGCTGATGCCAACTTACAATTAAAAGCCCTAATCAATGTAGGCCTGCTTCTTATAGCTCCTTGACTATATAATATTGTCATTGATTTGATCAGTTCATATTTATTGAGCACCTACTAAGTGCCAAGCATTCTACTGGACTCTGGGGATAATTGGTTAAAAGCTTGGCTGCTAACCAAAAGGTTAGCAGTTCAAATCCACCAGCGGCTCCTTGGAAACCCTATGGGGCAGTTTTACTCTGTACTATAGGGTCGCTATGAGTTGGGATCGACTTGATGGCAACAGGTTTTTTGCTGGGGATAATTAAACTTGATCCCTGACATTCAAGAGTTTATCCCAAATTGAACTTTAGACCAAATATAAGAATAAACATACTAATTTGATGCACTTTGAACCACACCTAAACCAAATCTTAATTTTTTATTGAACCATAACGTTGTTATTGAAGGAGCATGCACACATATGCACACACTCACAAATTCAGAATGCCAGCCTCAAAAACAAGTCAAACCAGGTAATTTTGAGCCTATTATTTTGAGCTTAGGCATAAATTATGTACTTTATTCACATGATTTAAACTTTATTGCAATCACATATGACTGGATAAGAGTTTAATTGCATTTCAGTGTATTAGTTGGTATGATGGACACTTATTTCACTGGATTACCAACGTGTTCCTTGAATGGAACAGACTTATGCTGCTATTGAATTTGCTTCAAGCCTTTATTGGTCGGAAAGATCCCTACATCATTCTAGGGAACATTCTGCCTGGTTGTTTCTGTCCAAGCTGGAGTCCCTGGATACACATGTGTTAGAAACAGAGAGTCAGAGGGTCACCCAGGTAGCCAAAAGTCCACTTCAGAGTCTGGGCAAGTAAGCTCTTGGTGGGTGGTGGGAAGTAGGATGGTGGAGAGGAGATTCTAGGAGCAGCTGCAGGGAGTAGACAGACTCAGGTGTCACTTTCTGGATTCAAGGATGGGCAGAGAGGGTGCAGGATCCAGTGGGTAGTTGGAGGTCCCTGGAGGTCATAGCATCAGTGCAGTCTGGGATTATTCTTACTCTATTCCCTGGTCTCCAGCCCCAGGACTTCCCTGACCTTTGAGTTTCCATCTCTTCGTCTCCATATCCTGTATCTGGGGGCTCAGGGTCAAATTTATTCATGGAAACTTAACAGATCTCCCAAGGATGGGGTACTGAGGATGATCTGGGAGCCAGGTCCAGACTCGAGTCCCTTGATTGCAGGGCCAGACCTTTCCACTACATCTCAGAGCATTGGCAACTATGCAGTTCAGCCGGAGCTACCTTGGCTGATGAACTTCTAGGAGTGAAAGTGTTTTGTAAAGAAGTAAGCTGTGATAAAAGCAACCCAATAACATTCATAAACTGTGGGAAACACTGTTATCATTGAGTCACACATCCTGCACCAGGCAAGTGCTTGTCCGCGGCTCTTCTTTATAGACCAGACTGTGAAAATGCCTGGAGGCCATTTACCGATTGACAGTTCTTAAGCAGTTCCTTGCAAATTCACTACTTTGAGCTTCAAAAGTCAGGTCACCAGCTGCTGTGGAGTTGACTCCGACTCATGGTGACTCCATGTGTGTCAGAGTAGAACTGTGTTCTATAGAGTTTTCAAAGGCTGGTTTTTCAGGAGTAGCTTGCCAGGCCTTTCTTCCAAGGCACCTCTGGGTGCACTGGAACCGCCAACTTTCCAGTTAGCAACCAAGTGCATTAACCATTTACACCACCCAGGGACTGGAAGGCCAGATAAGGGAGTGGAAAAAAGAGGCTCAAAAAGGTTAGGGATGAGAATGGGGAGTAATCCAGAAAAAGGAAAAATCTGCTCTTTTCCTTCCAAACTGTAATTACAAGAGACATTGTCATATACATGGGCTAGTCCTGGGCAAACTCTTGACCCTCATCTGATATCCTTGCCAACAAAGAGGAGAGGGTTAGAATAATAGCTGCAGGGTAGATGTTCCATATATTAATCAATGTGTGTGTACTTTTTAATCAGATATTCAAATTCATACTCTGAGTTGTATTAGACATCTATTGAGGAGCCCTGGTGGCACATAATGTTGCTATGATTTGGAATTGACTCAATGGCAACAGGCCGATATTTTTTTGGGTGGTGCAGTGGTTAAGCACTCGGCTACTGAGCAAAAGTTGGTGGTTTCAACCTACCAGCTGCTCTCCAGAGGAAAGACGTGGCAGTCTGCTTCTGTAAAGATTTACAGCCTTGAAAACTCTATGGGGCTGTGTATTCTGTCCTATAGGGTCACTGTGAGTCAGAATCGATTCAACAGCAACGGATTTTGGTACACCCAAAAGTACACTTATTATGTTCTAGGCACTGTGCACAGAGAGGTTAAGTAAGAGGCCCAATGTCACACAGTTGGTAGATGGCAGAACCAGGATCCAAATGCAGGTTGTCTTTTACCAGCGTCTTGATGTTAAACCACTAAGCAATACAACCTCCCAGGGTAGAAGGAGCACTGGAGTGGGAGTCAGAAATCAGTTTCTAGCCCTAGTTTCTCCATTTGGTCAGTCACTTTACTTCATGGGAGGCTCGGTTTCCCTATCTACATAAAATCTACCCTGCCTTCATCCTACAATTATTTAGAGCTTAAATTAAACGCTGAACATGCAGGCAACCTGTGTAATCTGAGTGACAAAGGCATGTCACATCCTTATGACTAGTACCCAGGCCTGTGTATGGGACATTGGGGTGGGTGAAGGGCCAGCTTGAGAGCCGGGGCACCAAGTGGGTTCTCCCAAGAGAAGGGAGCATGGAGAGGTCTCTGAATGCACGGAGGGAGAATGCAAAGAAACAGGTCACCTACTTTATGACTCTGGGCTGGGTAAGCCCTGTATTATTAGCCCAATAGAAACGTCGCTTGAAAGAGACATTATCCATGTTTTTTAAATTTTATACCTGCCTTCTTTATAGGATGAGCAATTTTATGGCTTTTTCTGACTTTAAAACCAGTATGCGTTCATTACAAAAAAAAAGTCTTAAAATTTAAAAAAACCTAAGAAGAAAGTAAAAATTTCCAGAAATCTCACTGCCAAGATGCTAATATTTCGGTGTACACCCTTCTGTATTTTTTAATGCATACTCACATACACAGGCATATGTTTTATTTTGTTTTGTTTTTTATGGACCTGGTGTCATGCACTACGTATTATTTTGTAGCTTGCTTTTTAACTAAATATATATTGTCACTTATTTCCATATCAAATAAATATAAATCTAGTAAGTGTGTAATAGTCCCATAGTATTCCATTGGTGTGGATATACCATTGTTTATTTAATCAGTCCCTAACTGATGGACATTTAGGTTGCTTCCAATTTTTTGCTACTATCAACCTTGCTGTGATAAATATCCCCACAAACACATCTTTGTGGGACAGCACAGAACCAGGAAACAGCACGGTCTGTGCAAGCAGTTAACAGCAGTTGCAAGGATGGAGGTAGGTAGAGGACTGAGGTGCACTTGGGGACTGGGTTGGGGCTAGGTCCAGCTGGTTTGGATGTCATGCTAACAAGGCTTGACTTCGCCTGTGGTGCTAGGGAGTCACCTCAGGGTTTAAGTAGCAGAATGACATGGTTAGATTTGAAAGTTATGGAGCATCCAAGAATGTGCAAGTCCACAACTCAGCAGTTCTCCGAGGTGGGCTCTGCATGTATATGCCTCCAGTTGCTCAGAGAAGGCAAATGACTTGCTCAAGGTCACACAGTAGGTGGAGGCAGAGCTTGGAACTTGAGTCTTCTGACTCCTTGCTTTTGTCTCATTTCTCCTCACATGGGCTCCTGCGAGTTCTCTTATCCAGGTCTGTTCCCTGCCCACTTGATTTCCCTCTGTTCTCTGCTCCTGAGACAGTTTGGGTCACTTACGAGGTCTCATCCCAACCGGATCCAGGAATACAGTCACCCTGAAGTATGGAATTCCCCAGGGTGTCCCTGGAGGCCTGATACTGCCTGTCCTGCCCTGGGAAGTTATGCTGACTTCGGGGCCCCATCGACCCAGCCTCCTTTCTGCTCCCGCCTGCCTCTTCCTGGGTCACAGTCAAGGTCAACACTAGCCCTGTGCCTTGTGCCACTTAGAAAAATGGCACCCCTTCCTTGGGGACTTGACTGCTAGCTGTTGGAAATCTGTCGTAATATACTGATTTTGTTACAACAAGACGTTGACTGCCAACTGCTAGGAAATTGAGAAATGACGTACAGAGCCACAGTGCCTGTGAGGTGCCTGCCCCTGTGCACCCTACCCTTGCACAGTGTACAATCTGTGCAACTGTCCTCAGCACTTTGGAGGCCACTCCACCCCACGCCCTTCCTGAAAAACCGAGTGTTAACTTTTATAAACAAAATAATGTTTCAAACTCTCTTTAATCACCTCCCAGTGGAGGATTCCATTTGTCAAACAGCCAAGTACCCTCGTATGATAAAGCCAACCCCCTAATTGGCTGTTTGCTATAAGTGGAGATTTCCAATTTCCATGCATTGGGTTGGCTATGATGGGGCCTGACTACTTGCTCAGAGCTGCCCAAAGCTTATGATGCTGGAGAGGGTGTCC